GAAACCAGCTCGTGTGCCTGGCTTTTTCCTCCTTTGGGATGAATGCTTTTTAAACCACTAAACTCCTTAGTCTCTCATTCAGATATATCCTTGACAGACATCAGTCTTCCAGCAAGTCCTAACTAATCTTCAATCATGGGCTACCTGAACTCAGCCAGGAACCCGGCTTCATTGTCCTTTTTATGACATGAAAATAGGAGTTAGGTCATGCCATAATAACCAACACAGACAGTCTGGCTCTATGCAGGTACCAAAATGGATAGATGACTCAGATCAGATGCCCATTTGTCTCGCCTGAACATATCAGCCTCGTGTAAGGACTACACAGTTTTAACCCAATTCCAGATTTCGAATTGGCTGAGACCAAATCTTTATTGCCTGATGAAATTAAAAATTCAAATAAAAGCTAATTTGAGTCATAGAAAAACACAGTTATGCATAAGGGGGACTCTGGTCATAAGTTTTAATACAAACACAGCTCCTCTTCCATTTATTGTCAGTTCTAAGGTTTCTGCCTTTTAGGAGTCTAATGGCAGCTGGCTTTATGAGAAGCTGGATAGAAGTGAGAAGTCTTGGGTTCTGTTGAGATTTTTAGCAGATGGAAACCAGCCCCAAACTTTGTTCCCCACAATATGAGTAAAGAACATCATCAAGGCACTACTGAGAACTAAGAGTAGTCCTGAGAAATGCTGACTGGTTAGGGATCTCTGGAGAGAAGACAATGTTGGCTCATATCTCCTGACCCTGACAAGGCCAGGAAAGACCCATGCAGAAAGTCTGGATCTTCCTGTTCCTCAGGCTTTGGGGAAACCCAGAGAGCTGAGAGCAGGCAGCTGAATCAGAGTCTAGCAGCCTTCTCCTTTAAACCACAGACCCCTCCTTTCACTGGCTGTGAGATTCCTGTCATTTACAATCCGAGTTCCAATGAGCTGGTACAGAATCATCAATAGCTTAGAGAACAGCAGTTGTCAGAATAGACATATCATTGGATAGAGTGCTTCTGAAAGAGAGAGTGACAATTTGAACAAAGATTTGAGATCAGCATAAAAAGTTCTTTCTGGGATTGAAAATGTAACTTCTCCAGTAAAATCTCAGGAAAAGAATCAAAGGAGATGATGGTCTCTATTGAAAATTGAACTAGTGGTTTGAAAGATTAAAGTCTAAAAATATATCAAAGTAAAAGGCAACAGGAAGTGAACCTCAAAAGAAAATGAAGTCCAATGCAATGCGCCTAGCATGTTTGGAATTTCACAGGAAAGAAAGAGAAAAAAAGAAAAAAAAATGGAGGTAAGGCCAATAATTTAAAATAGCCAAAAGAAAATTTCCCTGGTTTAAGTCTGATAAAATTATTGGATGCTAAAGATACATGAGAGAAACATCTAGGTTTCCAGTCAATAAAAGCATTAACTAGTTTTCATACATTACTCTAAGAATAGGACAACCAGAGAATTTAATGCCCTGACTAAATATCATTTACCTTTCAGCATAAAAAAGATAGAAATACAAGAAAGAATTTCCTACTTTATGTATTTTGTCACAGGTACATCAACAAGAAAAGGTCTGACCCAAGTAAGAAATAGACCAGAGTAGAAATTTCAAATAAGAGAGGGAAGAGATGTACAATTTGGGACATGCTCAATCGGACTTGCCCCAAATGGTGGAGTTAGAAACATGCCAGGGGACTCCAATACAATCCCATCAAGATTGCATGTACCAATGCCATCTCACTAGTCCAAGTGATCAATTTCAGTTCACAATTGATCACATGGATAGGTCTAAGAGTCAAAGGAATCACACAAACAAGACTAGTGTCTGCTAATACTAACTGATAGAATTAAAAAGGGAGAGAATGATCCAACATGGGAAGTGAGATACACAGCAGACTCATAGAATGGCAGATGTCCTAAACAGCACTCTGGCCTCAGAATCAGCCCTTAGGGCATTTGGATCTGGCTGAAGAGCCCATGAGAGTATTTTAGGCATGGAAAGCCAAGACACTCTGGAAAAAAAAAATGACCTAAATGAAAGATCTCTGCGAGTGAGATCCCAGTAGAAAGAGGGCCATCAGAGGAGGAGGTACCTTTCTCTGGAGGGAGGAGAGAACTTCCACTTTGACTATGACCTTATCTAAATAAGATCGAAGTCAGCGAACTCAAAAGGCTTCCATAGCCTTGGAAACTCATGACTAGATCCTAGGGAAATTTCTGACGCCATAAATAAGAGTGTCAAATTGTTAAGTCAACAACAGGAGTCACTGTGCACTTACTCCTCATGTGGGATCTCTGTCCTTAATGTGTTGTCCAATGTGAAGTAATGCTATAACTAGTACTGAAACAGTATTTTACACTTTATGTGCTGTGTGGGTGCAAACTGTTGAAATCTTTACTTAAAATATACTAAATCGATCTTCTGTATATAAAGATAATTGAAAATGAAAAAAAAGAAATACCTTCTTGTAAGGATAAATATATTTTGAATTTCCATAACACTTTTACAAAAAAAAAATTGTGTGCTTAGGCAAAAAATATTAACAAATTCAAAGAAGACAGCTTACAAATTACATTCTCTTATAGTCCAATTAGGTTAATTGAAAATTAAGAAACACACAATGAGATGAGTCTGTTATAAAATATGAAATTAAAGAAAATAAAGAATTATTTTGGAAATATTTGGAAAATGATACACTTGTAAAGCAATAGGACACAGCAAAAAGTTAACTGACAGGAAAATGTGTTTTGTCTAATTTTGTAAGCAGAAAGATCCACATAAAGGAATTAAGTACTTAACAAATCCAAGTAACAACAACAAAAGCAAAAAGAACCAGTAAAGAAGATAAACACCATGTGAGCTTGCTAAGGAAAAAGAAATGAAATAAAATCAGACAAGATTAATTATATGAAAGTTGAAAGGATATTAAAAGAATTCTAAGTAAATATTAAAGGTGACTAGGTAGCAATACATTAAATAACTCTAAAGGAAACTAATACTTCCTTAGAAAAATATACATTATCACAACTGACATAGAAGAAGTAAAAACCTGAACTGACCGAGTGTTATAGAAGAGACTGGAGAAGTGAATAATGACCTACTATTGAAAAAAGCTGCAGGCAGATGAATTCATAGCTGATTTTTTAACCTACAGAACAGGTGATTTCAATATCATGTAAGCTATCATAGATTTTACCAAATGATCAAAAGCTCTTGCTATTTTGTGAAGTTAGACTAATTCAAATATCAAATCCTAAGATGGAGAGCAAGAACAATTAAAAGTACAGGTCAATTTTGTTGAAATGTTTAAATAACATATTAGAGAATACAATAGAGGAATGAATCAAAACAGCAATGTGTAGGAGAAAATAACTTTATTAGAGTAATGAAAGGGTGGCTGCATACCATACAGCCCAGCTATGTATTGACTATGCTAGAAAGGAAAAGGAAAAATTTTACCATTGTCAATACCTTTTGAAATGAATTAGATAAAGGTCAAACAACTGACACCTAAACAAATTCTAAGCAAGATAGGAACAGAAAGAAGTTACTTACAGTAGAGTCTACTATCAAACATCCTAAATGGCAAAAATTAAGCCATTCACTTAAAATCAGGAATCAGGCATCACCATAATCATTTAGACTGATGATTCTAGAGGATGTAAATAAAAGTAAATGCTATGAATGATGAAAAAAGAGATAACATTTCTGACTGATGGAATGCCTGTTTTCTTAGATAACCTAAAAAATTCTCATGAAAAAACAAATAAGAGATTTTGGTGCTTTTGATGATTACAAACTAAATTTAGGGAAATTATCAGCCTCTTTCCTTTTAGACAAATGCATCTAGAAAAGGAATGGGAAGAACATTTCACAAATATTATAATTTGGTATAAATTTGGTATTGAACATAGATGAACAAAACCATAAAAACATTATGGGGACATGTGAAAAAATATAAACAAATGGGAAGCTTATCATTTTCTCAGATGATGATGTTATAAACATGCCAATTCTCCAAAAAAGTGAATACACAGATTTAACGTAGTTCCCATTACTCTGCTTTCTTTTACATAAAGTACTATGTATTTATTGAAGAGGTCTTCAAAGTCCAAATATTTACATAGAGTGGTAATTAGGGCTTTTGAAGAGTTGTCTGGAATGATCAAAGCAACACTGAAAAATGGTCCTGAATAGTTTAGTAAATACATCTGTTACATAAAAAGTTTAAAACTATACACAATAGATTTTAAATACCAGTCCCCCACTTCCTTGTCATTAAATGGTGGGTTAAAATGTTGAATATGGTGCCATTGCCCTGGCTCAATAGGCTAATCCTCTGCCTGTGGCGCTGGCACACCAGATTCTAGTCCTGGTCGGGGCGCTGGATTCTGTCCCGGTTGCCCCTCTTCCAGTCCAGCTCTCTGCTGTGGCCTGGGAGTGCAGTGGAGGATGGCCCAAGTGCTTGGGCCCTGCACCCCATGGGAGACCAGGAGAAGCACCTGGCTCCTGGCTTCAGATCAGCGCCATTGAGGGGTGAACCAACGGAAAAGGAAGACCTTTCTCTGTCTCTCTCTCTCACTGTCCACTCTGCCTGTCAAAAAAAAAAAAAAAAAAATGTTGAATCTGGGAGACTGCATATTTTTTTGTGAGCTGCATTTTGTTCTTGCCCTGTGTGGTCTGGGCAAACTTGATTGTACACTGGAATCACCTATGTAGCTTCATAAGATTATGGAATCCAGAGTCTTACCCAAGAGTTTGTGCCATCAGAATCTGTAGCAAGAATTTTAGGGATCACTGACCACATTTTTGCTTCAAGGATCACTGCTTATTTCAGGGTCTTTTTTGAGGGCACAAAAATCTAGAAGAGGCTACCCAATGTTCCAGTAGGGAAGACTTTCATTGAAATCCTATTTTTGGAAATAACTCATTTTATGAATGTAAGTTGAAAATAAATTTTAAAAATAAATAAACAATAGATTTTCTACAGCAGAGAAACATGCAATGTATACCTTGTTTTCTGTGTATCAGGGAACAGTAAAATTATGTGGAGAGAAACATCATACGTTTGGGTTTGAAACATCCCTTTGCCTCTTTCTGGCCTTCGTCAAATTATTAACCATTGTAACTCTTAGCTTCTTCATCTATAAAATAGGGATGAAGTAGTACTTACTTCACATGGTGATAGTACTTATCTCAAATACACCAACAGCTTAATAGGTGCTGGTTAACAGCAAACAAGAATGACATTATTAAATACTTTCTTCAGCAGGAATAATTGGGGATATGTATCAGATGCCTTAATGGGAGTTAATACATACTAGGAACTTTATGAATATTCTTGAATCAAGGGGCAGGCATTTGGCCTAGTGGTTAATTGTTGGGATGCCTTCATTGCATATAATAGTGCCCGGGTTCGAATCCCAGCTATGTTTCCTGATTCCAACTTCCTGCTAATGCACACCCCAGGAGGCAGCAGGTGGTGGCTCAAGTAACTGAGACCCTGCCACATATGTGGAAGACCCAGATTAAGTTCCTGGCTCCTGCTTTGGCTTGGCCTACACTCAGCTGTTGCAGGCATTTGGGGAATGAATCTATTCCCTTCCCGTGTCTCTTTCTCTCTGCCTCTTAAGTAAAGTATATATAAAATTAATAAAAATTTAAAAATTTTTGAATCAAGGTTTAACACTGTGTGATGCACACTGAAGATTTATCAAAGGCAGTAAGTATTTTCTCTCTCCCTCTCTTCTTACTAGTATCATCTAAAAAACAATACCTTTTGAATGTCCCAGGTCAAGCTGGTTTGTGAATATGATTGAATTCACTTTAATGGCAGTGTATAAATAAGGTTTAACAACAATTTTTTTTTTTTAAAGATTTATTTATTTGAAAGGTAGAGTTACAGAGAGACAGAGAGAGAGATGTTCCATCTGCGGTTCACTTTCCAAATGGCTTCAAAAACCTGGGATGGACCAGGCAGAAGCTGGGGGCCAAACCTCCCTCTGGGTCTCCTGTGTGGGTGGCAGGAGCCTGAGACCTTGGGCCATCCTCTCATGCTTTTCCAGATGCATTAGCAGGGATCTGGACTGGAAGTAGAGCTGCTGGGACTTAAGGCACTCAAATGGAATACCAGTGTTGCAGACTGTGGCTTTACATACTGCTCCACAGTGCCAGCCTCAACAATAGTCTTATGTAACATTTATCTTCCCACACCAAGGCTCCCTCATTCATGAAGAAAATCTTCAGTTTTATCGCTCAGCTGCTCAGGAACAATTCCACTCCTTCTCTACTGCTCTGGGGTTCTGGTCAAGTTACCTTGACCTTGTATTGGCCAGCAGTGTGCTTCATGAGAATATGCTCTTGCCGGGAAAGCAGCTCCCTGCTGTGCAGTGATCCCTGGCAAACTAGGGAGACAATGGCTCTCTCTCCAGCTCTGTGCTGGACTTTGTCAGGAGGCTCAAAGTGTACTTCTTAGTCATCTGTGACTTTTCAAATGACTCCTCAGCTTCTGACCCCACCAATCCATCCTCAGGGGGCTCAAAATCATTCAAAGACTGGGGGAGAACAGAGGATGCAGCCATTCCGCTTCCCTCAATTCCTCTGTTCCTTTGGACAGTTTCCTAGCATGAGAATTCCACTTCCTCCTTGATTTGGAAATATACACTCCAAGGATGTCAACTGATGGAGAGAGAGAACATCAGCCCATCAGGTCCAAGAAGGACAAATTCTAAATTTCCCTAGGGTCTTATGTGGACCACCCACGATTTTTCCCTCTTTCCTACAGCCTTATCATCTAGCATCTTAGAAAAAGTACTAGTGCTCGGCCGGCGCCGCGGCTCTCTAGGCTAATCCTCCACCTTGCGGCACCGGCACACGGGGTTCGAGTCCCGGTTGGGGCGCCGGATTCTGTCCCGGTTGCCCCTCTTCCAGGCCAGCTCTCTGCTGTGGCCCAGGAGTGCAGTGGAGGATGGCCCAAGTGCTTGGGCCCTGCACCCCATGGGAGACCAGGAGAAGCACCTGGCTCCTGCCATCGGATCAGGGCGGCGCGATGGCGGCAGTGCGCCGGCCGCGGTGGCCATTGGAGGGTGAACCAACGGCAAAGGAAGACCTTTCTCTCTGTCTCTCTCTCTCTCTCACTGTTCACTCTGCCTGTCAAAAAACAAAAAACAAAAAAAAAAAAAAAAAAAAGAAAAAGAAAAGAAAAAGTACTAGTGCAAAGGCACCTCGTCCATTCTTGTTCTATTCCTGTTATGTTTGCCTTTGAAAGTGAAATAACTGCACACGAGGAGAAGGCTCAAACACTGATGAGGCTCAGTGCACTCTGGCTCTGAGTTGCAGCTGCCTGGCTTCTCTGGGGACCCAGTACTCTGGCTCCTCACAACATGGAGCTCTGGGCATATCTGTTGTGCTTGTACTCATGTGTAAATGTTTATAATAGCAGTTAACGGGGGCATAGCATAGGGACACCACATAATTTTATTCCTAATTTCTCAAAAGCTCTCTTGAGGTGGTGTGAGAATTGTTACTATCCCTGATAGTTTTTCTATAAATTCTGGTAAGGTAAGAAGAGGAAACGTGACATGAGGTCCATTAAAAAACTTGCTACTGCCTAGAAGATGGCCCAACTGCTTGGACCCCTGCACCCATGTGGGAGACTTGGAAGAAGATCCTGGCTCCTGGCTTTGGATCCACCCAGCTCCAGGCATTGTGGCCATTTGGGGAGTGAACCAGTGGATGGAAGACCTTTCTCTCTGTCTCTCCCTCTGTCTGTAACTCTGCCTCTCAAATAAATAAATAAATAAATCTTTACAAAATATTAAAAAAAAACTTGCTACTACCAAGAATTGGAAGACTGAGAAAGTAAAATGTTATTAGTGACAGTGTAAGTGTGAAGTATTACACCGAGCAAATGACAGTATAAAAGTCAATAACCAGAGGGCAATAACCCCTCCTTACCTTCACAAGACCCCAACAACATGTTTCAATCTTGCTTTTCAAATAAGAATTATTTATATATAGCTGGGACTAGAACAGGTGATCATATGGGATGCTGGTGTCAAAGGCAGTAGCTTAAAATGCTGCACCACAATGCTGTGCCCATTTTTTAAAAACAAATGTTATGTTAGAGGGAAGTGGAGGAGGAGACAAAATGAATACCGATTCACTCCCCAAATGCCCACAATGGCAGCGATTGGGCTGGAGTCATAGCCAGGAACCCAAACCAGGTCTCCCAGGTGGGAGGCAGGAACCCAATTACTTGAGCCATCACCTGCTGCCACCCAGGGTCTGCATTAGCAGAGAGGTGGAGTCAGGGGCTGGAGCCACAAACTGAACCCAGGCACTTTGAAGTGGACACAGGTGTGTTAATCACGGGTTTAAAATGCTCATACTCTAACTGCAATTCTGCAGTTCTGATTTGCAGATTAGTGAAGCCCAGACTCTTCCTAATGCCTATTCCTACCTCAGGGTAATATCTGCCTTAGATACTTAAGAATCCCCTCTCTTTATTGTGAAACCCTGTTTTTCTAAAGCTAAGTTAAACTCACATTCAAATGCCAATCATATATGCAATAAGGTTTAATGTGCACCTTTCTCAGAGGCATTCTAGTGGAATGGCCCTAGTCAAAGACTCCAGGAAGCAATACCCACTCTTTCACTTACAATCTATGGGACTTGAACCTAACACAACAAACTCAGAACACAGTTTCTCTGTTTAGGTAATGGGAGCAATATTATCAATTGCACAGGAGTTTTTAATAAGCATAAATGAGGGGATGAAATTGGAAATCCCGGCTGTTCCAGGGGCGGGGACAAAAAAAGTGTCCAGCATCCCATATGATCACCTGTTCTAGTCCCAGCTGCTCCACTCCCCATCCAGCTCTGATGTGCCAGGGAAAGCAGTGGATGATGGCCCAAGTCCTTTGGCCCCTGCCACCCATGTGGGATACCCAGATGGAGTTTCAGGTTCCTGGCTTTGGCCTGGACCAGCCCCGACCGTTGCAACCACTCGGACTCTATCTTTCCCTCACTCTAATTTTGCCATATCACGTATTTTCTAAAGAAAGACCCTCCAGGTCTATAAAGTTTATCTAAGGACACGATTGCCTTCCAAGCAAGGTATTAATCTCAAACATCCTTGACTTTCTTCCATAACCTTGCAGAGTTCTGTATGCTGAAAAGGGTTTCCTCCATCTGCACTTTGCACCTGCAGTGACTCAACATTTGCTTGACAGCAACTCTGGGATTCCCACTGTCCCTCCTCTCTTATTTGCGAAGTGCCTACAGGGTGGGGGCCCCACCTGATTTTATTTGCTAACTTTCAAGCCCGCCTTGGATACTCCTTCATTCTTTGCTTCACAGGGATGCTGAGGTTAACAGATCTGAGGCGCTCCTCCAAGCAATGGGGACGTCCGGCTTGGTTGTGCCGTCGGACGTGCACCGGGAACCGGTGTCCTGGGCCCGGCGGAAGACGAGGAGATGGCGGCGGCGCGGCGCAGGCCGGCGGGCAGCGCCCCTCGCATCCCCTCGGGAGGGACCCCGCCCAAGCACTCCCGTTGCTAGGTCCTCTGTTGGCCGCGTTCGGGAGGAGCCCAGAGCCAGACCAAGGCGAACGCGAATGGGGGTGCCCGGAGAAGCCCGAGCGCCGGCTTCAGTCGGTCACCGGGACGAGCAAGCGGCTCCTCGGTGGGTACCTCGTGGCCCCGAGCGCTCCTGGCTCTGCGCGGGCAGAAGACCCCCTCGCCCGTGGTGCCTCCCAACCGCCGCCAGCCCCCGGCGCTCGCCGCTCGCGCCTCCCCGCTCGTTGCGCACCCCCGGCCGCAGCGGGCGAATGGTCTGGCCCGTCGGTAGCCACCACCCCCTAGGGCAGCGACAGCTGCTCCAGCTGCTCCTGGTCGAGCGTAGGAGCCCCGAGCCGTGGCTGCCGCGGGCGGTGGGCAGGCGGAGGGCATCGCCGGACCACCAGCGCAGGTTGCCCGGGCCCTGGGGAGCCGCCCGCGGGCAAGCCGGGGAGCGCGGGAACTGCCGAGGGACGGCCCGTGGCGGGAAGGTGAGGACCTGGGCTGGCTGCCCTCACCCCCAGTGAGTACCTGCTGCCGCCATCCCGCCCTCTCCCTCCTCCCCCCCGCAACCTCCTTCCACCGTTCCCACGTTCCGGAGGCCGCAGCCGCTGCCCTGGGGACAGTGTCCCCTCCGGGAGCAACGGACGGAGAGCTGCTGCTGCTGTCCGCGCTCATGATTCAGCACCATCCGCGCCCCGAGAGGTGGAGGCAGAATGGGGGAGGGGGCGAAGTCAGTTGTGAGGCTCTTACCTGAGTTCCCAGGCTGCAGGTGCAGGAGCCCGGCGGGCAGGGTCGGGGTGGGGGCGGGGAGGCTCCCTGTCGGCTCGCTCCGTAATTCCGCCCTGTCCCCACATCCTGGTGCAAAGCTCCGTGAGTATACGCTGAGTTCTTGAAAGTGTGTCAGAGGCATGTCTTTTTGGCACACGCGAGAGAAGTCCAGGGCTGCTTGTCAGTGCCTCTCAGCGTCTGTGCCTCTCGCTCCGTCGGATGCCAGATTCGTGCGGTCCTACGCTTCATTTCCTATCGCAGCATTCCCCTGACTCATGGGAAAGACGCCCCATCAAACTTGTCTTGTGTTCAGGGTGGGTTTGATTGGTGCTAGCAGAGAAAGAAAAGATTCAAGGGAGGTGGGAAAGGATACTTGCAGATCCTCGGTACTTACTTTTATATACTCGGATCGTATTTCATTAAATCATCGCAACCACCCCTTACCAAATGTGGAAAGTGAGGAGCAGAGAAGTCAAATTACATCCCCAAGGTCACAGAACAGGCATCGGAATACAAGTCTCCTTTAAAGTCCATGGACCTCCCACTGCATTTGAGTCGTGTGGCCAGATTTGTGTGTGCATACTGTATTAGTGATTAAACATGGAATTAATTTTCAGAGTAGTAACCTTAAACAACAGCAACAACAACCTGTAAACTTACTGCATGTGGAACTATTGCTCCTTTAGCATAAAATTAAAAAAGAAAACCTATTTTTCTTAGAAAGAAAGTATGGGGAAAATATCTGGACAACGTTGCCTGGACAGCTAGGTTCTAACAGATGTGCAACACCTTTTTTGGCAGTGATATATGGTGGATGCTCAAGTGTTCAGAAATCAATTAGGAAAGTAAAAAATCTGGAAAATTTAAAGCTTTAGAGAAACATTTGAAGTAAGAATGGTTATTTAGCTCATAGGGTGTGGGACTGAGCTACTTCCTTCTATAGGAAGACAAACAGATATTTTTGATTCACCAACCTTCGATTTGGCATAGCAGGTGGTAACTCCAATGTAACAGACTAAGGAAATAAAATAAAGAGAAGGCTCAGGATCACTCAGAAAGTGGGGAAGTCTGGTACTAACTCATCTACAAAACATGTATGTTGTAGTAAAATGTTCTGTCTAGTGGGGGCCTGGATTGATTTTTTTTTGCCTTGCCCTTCAGAGTCAGCAGTTGTATTGACCTCCTATACTCCTTCTGCAAGAATAATGAATTCTAGATCATTCTTCTGTCCTTTGGTGGGTCATTTGACTTGTTTTCATTTATGATTTATGGATATTCTCTTAGGATGTGCACCTCTTGTTGATGTCTCAAGAGGCAGGTTGCTATAATACAGAAGCTCATTATCTCTAGGTACTGGCATCAGATTTGATGGTAGCCAAGCACATCATTGTTTTAGTCCATCATTTGTAAAGTATTGGACATTCGCAGTGGAGAATTCCTTTGTAAATGAATGAGGATGTTGATGGATTAAGCCTACTGCCTACATAAGGATGTAAAATGGAGATACAAATTTATATTTGTTGCTTAGAGAAGACTATAAAATAAGTAGGGTGCAGTGAAGAGTCTTCAAGTTTGATCTCTAGAGGTTATTTCTTTTTGCTGTTTATGTGACAGTTGGCTGTACACTGAACCTTGGTGGGGCATGCAGTCCAATCTGTTTAATCCCAAGAAGAGTAGCAGAATTAGTAGTAATGAATAAGCAAAAAGACAACATCACTGCTATTTTAAAAACAAGGAAACAGGAAAGTGAATGTGCTAGTGCTGGACAGTCAGCAGCAGTGTTTGAAACAGAGGCATCCTGTTTTATTTAGATGACATCACTGAAAGTATGAGCGTAATGTCAACCTGGCTTTAGAATTGCACTTTCTGTGTATATTTGGCCGCAGATCATCTAAATTCCTGAGTGTTAGGAACTTAAAATCTATCTTGGGGGATGTTTACTTACACATGAATAGTTAGCACAATAAAGTTAGAATTGGCTTAATTCCAGAAAATAGTGGTACAGACCTAAGTGCTAGTGCTATAGCAATACCTTAAGAATTCAGAGACATTGTAGAGATTGAGGGTGATCAGAGGATCAGGAAAGTCTTTATGGATGGAAGTGAATTAAACCAATCTTTGGGTTATGGGAAGGATTTTGGTAGATAAAGAGAATGCCAGGCAAAGGTTCAGCTGAGGGGCACTGTTTACATACATGCTGACAGATGATTTAGAACCTTGAATGTCAGGCAGTGAGATATGTTACTGATCTGGTAATCATAAGGAACTAATGTAGGTTCCCCTTTCTTTATTTATTTTTTAAATTTTGTTTGAAAGGCAGAGAGAGAAAGAGAGAGAGAGAAGGAAAGAGAAATAAAGAGTACTACCCAAACACCCACAGCAGTGCAGGGTTGGGTCAGGTCGGGAAGCAAGGAGCCGAAAATTCAATCTGGGTCTCCCATGTGGGTGGCAAGGACCAAAATGTTTGAGTCCTCATCTCCTGTCTGCCAGGATGTGCATTAGCAGGAGGCTGGAATTGGAAATGGAGATGGGATCTGAAACCAGGCACTCCCATATGGGATGCAAACATCTTAGCTGCTACATCAAAGTCTCACCCCCGATGTAGGTTTCTAAGCAGGCCAAGTTTCTCTTGTTCATGTTCTTCATATTCCTTTTCCCAAGCCTTCTTCCAGAAAATGGTGTATTTCTTGGTTACAGCTATTAAAAGGATTGGTTGTCAAGCAAACCCAGAAAAAGTATTTTATGCAAGTAAAATTAGTCCTCTTCCAAAAAAAAATTGCCTTTTAAAATGCTGCTCACTCATTATAGAATTATGAACAATTTGGAAAGGATAAGAACATAAAAGGGAAAAATATAATCATCATAATTTTACCAGCTAAAGCCAACCACTATTAATATTTTGATGTGTTTCTTCTCTTCTTTCTATACATAGTTTTAATCATGCTGTACACATTACTTTTTAGTAAAAATATATTTGGGGCTAGTGCTGTGGCGTAGCAGGTACAGCTGCCGCCTACAGTGCTGGCATTCCATATGTGCACCAGTTTGAGTCCTGGCCGCTCCTCTTCTGATCCAGCTCTCTGCTATGGCCTGGGAAAGCAGTAGAAAATGGGCCATGTGCTTGGGCCCCTGCACTTATGTGGGAGACCTGGAGGAAGCTCCTGGCTCCTGGCTTTGGATTGGCGCAGCTGCAGCCATCTGGGGAGTGAACCAGAAGACTTCTTTCTCTCTCTGCCTCTGCTCTGCCTTTCAAATAAATAAATAATAATAAAAAATATTTATTTGTTTGAAAGGCAGAGTGACAGAAAGAAAGGGCATGACAGAGAGAGAAAGATTTTCCATCTTTCAGTTCACTCCCCAAATGGCTACAGCAGCCAGATCTGAGCCAAGCTGAAACCAGGAGCTAGGAACTCCATCTAAGGCTCCAGTGTGGGTGACAGGGGCCCAAGAATTTGGGCCACCTTCTACTGTTTTCTCGAGCATATTAGCAGGGAGCTGTACTGGAAGTGGAGCAGCTGTGACTTGAACCAGAACTCTGCCATAAGATGCTGGTATAGCCAGTGTGGAGTAACCAGCTGCGCCACAATGCTGGCCCATGTATGTTACTTTTCATATATTTTTACATCATACATTAGTTTTGATTTAATTACAGTTAAGCAGTAAGCATTTAAAATACATAATTTCCCATTATTTTCTGTATTTTGTTAGTACCTTAAGATAGAACCTCAGAGTTAAAATTTCTGGGTTAAAAGGATGTGAGTTAGATTTGGACTGTTTAAGGAAGTTTTGAAAATCTAGATTCTATATGTTTGATTTGAATACTTATTTACATATTGGCCATGAAATATTTGCATATCAATAACTCCCTAGTTAATGACACCCAATCTGTCTGTGGCTCTTTTAGACAACCTCTTCTTTTGATTAGAAAGATGATTAAGTCATGAAGACTGGGAGAAAGGCTGCTGGGACTCAGGAGAGAAGATACAATTGAAGGGAGAGAACAGGTTTGGTGAGCAAGAGTTTCTAATCGGAGAAGGTGCACAGGTGATAGGCTGCTTTCTCATGCTAGTGTTGCAATTGTGGACCTCAACCACAAGCTTCCATTCCTCTCTTTCCTTAACACATACCACACGCTATATCTGTCTCTTTGAAACTTCAGCTTCTTCCTCCCCCCTGTATTAGATTCTTGTGCCTCCTGCTTCAGTATCCTGGTAACACAAGGCACAGATAAGAACTTACTCTTGCACTGTAATTTGGAGAATTTACATAGGTGAGGGCAGGAATTTGGGGCTTCTGCCCAGCTCTTAGCAGAGGCCCCAAGTACAAGATGCAGGGGTGAATGAGAGGCACACTTGTGGACGCTGAAGACTTCTGTCCCCTCTCTTGTGCACATTTGCCAAGGGATGGCCTTTGAACAGTCCCTACTGGGAGGTTCATTTCCTAATATGCCCCTCCAGCGTTCAGATTCTCCCTTCCCCTTGTTTCCAGTGTCCCTCTACCAAAGGAAATCCCTGCACACAGCAGAGAGATGGTGCCTCAGTTTCCCCCATCAGTTGTTGGGTAGACGTTGCTAGCTCCTTATGAGGAGAGGGGCGGTGGCGCAATGTGGGACAGGTATTTCCCCTGAGCTTCTTCCAGGTCCCATCTCTCCTCTCCTGGGGCCTCCAGGTTGGAGTCCAGGAATCCATGTAGGCAGGCTTGCCGGTAAGTGTCTCTGAGGGCCTGTGGAAGGGGAGTCAAGGCAGATGAATGTAATGAGCTGGCAAGCGAGGGAGCAGAGAGGCAGAATCTTATAGTAGGCAGAAGTCTTGGGAGACCTGGAAGGAAATGATGAAAACTAAAGCATCACATTGCAAACTGAAAAGAGGCCACCTCCTCTTTCCAGGTCCCTAGAGAGAGATGCTTTCTGGTGGAAGCTGGACATTCAAATAGAGTATTTTAGACAGAATTTGTCCTATGTGTACATGTC